GACACCAAAAATTTTGCCCCACACGGAAACCAAACACCCGTTATACGAGACTTCCACTACGTGTATTGCCCATGTCCATACAATCTCAGTTAGGTGACTGTCTGCTCACGCCGCGGCGACGTGTCCGCGATACGTCGTGATGATACCCGTGCTAGTACTAAATTAAACTGATAACTTGTGTTTGTGTGTTTATTTATGTTTTATGGGAGCGTGGTATAATCAGGGTATAGTGGAATATGATTGTAGAAAAACTATTATATCGTGTTTCATTAGAAGAGAGATTCATTAGGTAGAAGCTATTTATATAGGCCCAATCTCAAATCTTTTAAACAATGCAATAGTTAGGAGATTCCATATTAGATATATGGATGTACCATATATCAATACTTTTTTTTAAGGGGGGAAAATCATCAAATGACTGCTCCCGCCTGGGTGAGGCGGGAGGGAGTGTCAGACTCTTACTGACTAAAACCACCCCGTTCCTTCTCCTGCACGTCGAGCAGAGCGGCGCCCCGGTTACCCGTTAGGTTCTCCGTGACATATAGCAATACTGTGCCAGAGCAATGCTTCGTCACGAACGGGCCAACTCGACCGAAAGGATACCACGGCCTCACAGAAAACCGTCGTGAAGCAACGCTTGCGTTGTGCTTCGTCGTGTGAGTGAGGTTACCAGAAGCCCAATTACAATTATCCCTAGTCTTCTCAATTCCCGAATACCATACAATCCTCAAATTCCCAATTCCCAAAAGGCTGTAACGCACTTGTAACGCCTTGGTGTTTCAGCTGTCCATGCGCGACGGCGATTGCTTACCATTAGGTGATCCGTCTGGTCATTCACCGGCTTATCCCATAAAAAAATATGGTACCACTAATAGTATGTCACAATTGGAGAGGATTGGTCCAGCTTAGTTTTATAAGTAGACAGCCATTACAGTCTGGAAATTGAACCTGAAACTTCTATAGCTTAGCAATCCCCAAAGTAACTCCTCAACTAAGGAGATAATCAACACTACAACAGATAAACATCTGGTCATCATCTTTGTAAAAGACGGTCTTTAACCTTGCCTATGATAATACCTAAATGATCTATTTCGACTGTATAAACTAACTAACAAACATTTTGTCCGTTTGTCTGTCACATGCGTATGCGCAACATACACCGGAAAGGATAGGGTGCTCTATATTTAGAAACTAACTCGTCATGGGACTAATGTCAGAGTTATGACAAATAAGATCATTATTATCCATATAAATGCTGTTGATGTAATTGAAGCAGACGTCAGGTTCGATTCTCGGTTCGGATAATGTTAAAGATAATTTTTGAAAGACACAAATCACTATATTCGATACGATAATCATACCCACGACACGTGGTTCTTCCACTGCGCTAGCCGTTTAATTTTCTATAGTAGCGCAGTATCTAGAACAGCATTTAATGTTTGTCGTAAAATTTCAAAGATCAAAGAAAACCTGTTCCTTACCCCCAGCCAGCCCCCATGACACCGACATGAGAATCGAACGCGGGACCCCTTGCTCGAGCAACAACGCACTAAATACTATAACACTAATCATAACTACAAAACAATTTAACCTTAAATTCTAAATAACTACAATTTTCCCAATTTACTAATTTAAATATTTGCACCATTATATTAAATTAATAAATGAGAACATAAAATCACGCCTTTTATCCCCGAAGGGATAGGCAAAGTTGCACATTACGACACTTACCTAATGCCACTGTATAACGTAACACCCACTTTTCACTATTTATGTTATGAGTCCCATGTAATAGGGGATGAGCCTATTGCTATATACCGGGCACAATTCCATAGTCAGTGCTAATACTGAGACTTCTAAAAAAAAACCAGTAATACATTGCCTGACCCGGAAATCGAACCCGAGACCCCATGCCCGGCAGTCGCACTTGCAATCACTCGACCAACGAGGCAAACAGTAATAAATGACACTCAAGTACCTACAAATTAATGTTCATTCCATTCCCGGTCACTTCACTCACTTAAATATATTATTTGTATCAAAACCAGTAATTTATTGGCAACACTATGGACATATCATATGGATTAATTAATCGTTCGGCGATTGTCTGCTGTAAAATGTGAAGTGGTTTCGATGTCTGCATGAAGCTTTTTGGGTCTTATTAATCGTTGTTTCTTGATCTGAGTGTAATGAATCTAATGTTTTTAAGATACGGAAGATAATCTTAGAGTACATTATCCATATTTTATACAAAAAATTTTAGGTACAAGTACAACTCAAATTGATTTCTTTCATTATTTGCTTCGTTTCAAAATCACACAAAAATGTAATAAAGCGAATGTATCTTCTAACATTCTAATGTTGATAAATGTATGAATAAAGATCCGCTTTTGATTACTACCTAATCTTAGTTTTAAAGGATTTATTAACAAAAGCCTTATTTAGCCATGGATGCCCACCAACTGATAACATAATAATGTTCCATTTTTGTACAAACGTGACAGTAATACTAAACTTAAGCACATTTGCGTTATCTTAATAGGAAGGCGAAAGATGCAAAAATAGATAAAAAACATCAACATTATATTCGCTCGAATCCCGCTTAAAATCTTTGAAGCAAAACGTATTCATTCATTCGTTCATTCATTTTGTTTTAAATACCTCATTCAAACACGTCCAATAAACGAACGTTTAAATTCAATTTAAAAAATAAAATATTCGATTTTCAAATCCCGAGACGGAACGAACGCAAGCGACCCCGAAATTGCTGGCCGCATTCACCCAGACAAAAGCCCTAAAATACACCCCGCGAGCAAAAAGAAAAGCATTTCCATCCCTACCCCTCCTTCATTTAAATTTCCCGCCCCAGAGCGGGGGCGGCGACTGTAGGGGCGGCTTCCGTACAACAGAGACGAAACTTAAAATCTCATAGAAAAGAATGAGACGGTCGTATGTCCACCTGTTGCGTTTCATATTTTCGCGGCGGATTCTTTTTTCGTTTCTTACCGCGTTCCAAAGGATTTGAATGGCGCGCCCGTGCATGCGTACTAGGCTTAGGTATTGAACGATATTGACGTATGACGCCCGACGTTCTACGTACGATTTTTAAATCTTTTCATTCGGTCATTCGAGATTCAAATAAATTCTTCGCCGAGAGATTACTGTGTATGAATATTTTTCTTTTTTTTTTGCGAAATTGCGATTGCGAAACTGCGATTCACGCTTGCTTTAGTTGTGGATATTTTTTGATTAACTTTTTAAATGTACCTATTGTAAAGAACTATTGTATTGTATTACATACAATAAAAAGCCATAGATTTAAGATTTCAGTAGAAATGTTAGCAATGACACAGCTGTCAAAATGTCTAGTTTTAGTCAAAGCTCTTCTTGTCCAAAATAATTGGCATACTTTTGCTCATAAAGGGGTTGACAGACGATAGGGGTGTATTGGGTGTAAGCAGAGATGTTATAAGGGGTGAGCGTATTGCCATATATCGGACACAAATCCAAAATGTAATGTTTTAATCAAGTTATATGTAGTAATATAATTAACGTAAAGAAAAAAACAAATGGTTAATCTAAAATAAGATATGAATGTATAATTAAAATGAAAATAATTTCTTCCAGTATACAGTGCGGTCCGAAAGCAGGATGCAGTCAGAAATAAAAACTGTTTGTGTTACCGTTTCCGGCGCGTCCCGGGTTCGATTCCAGCTGAACACGTGGTGTGGTTATTACGAGGAAATTATTCAATAAAAATAGTATCACAGACATTAGCTACGTTTTGGAAGACCATTACTATGTTTGTTAGTAGAAGAACGTGTAAATATACGTGGTTTTGTATTATTACTCGTACATACATACATACAAGTCCATATTTAAGTATAGTTTGTGATTCAGGTGCTTTGTAGGCTTTTTAATTGAGTCGCGTTATTTTTTTGTCTCGTTGGAATAGAGGTACCTACTGACGAAATACTAGATACATTTGATAAAGACGAGTTAAAAACACAACAATCTAAATTATCATCAATCTATAACAATACGAAACTCTAAACAAACATTCAAAACAAATATAACCAACATTTAAATGAAATGAAAAAAAAAACGACACATTCATCATTTTCACTTTCATCCCCCATAAAAAACAAAAAGCTCTTAAATCAGCGAAAAAAAAAAGAAAAAATCCCCATCAATCGTTTAAAACAGGGGGAGAGTTTAGCATTCATCTAAAACGATTTACAAAATGCAAAATCGTTAAGAGTAGGGGCAAGGTGGGGAAGGGACCTGGGTGTCTTCAAGGCCCGAGTGAATAGGTTGCTTATGGGACGACGTTCTCTATCGTAGACCGCATCATCGCTTACCACCAGCCGAGATAATGGTCAAACGCTAAACCAGCTTAGAATAGTGGACTTTGTGCCTATTTTTTATCTAATTTTCGTACGAAATTACTAAATTACCTATAGTAGGTACCTAAGCATATGTTGCCCAGGCGAAAAAAGTGTCATTCTATCAGTTCCCAAGATTGATGGCAAAAGACAATCATACAAACACGTTTTTTTTTCTTTTTATTACAAAACTGTAAATATAGGTTGATATGGAAATCCATATTAATCTATTATTTAATGTATTTTACTATTTTAATTACACACTTTTTTACTATTTTAATTATTAAATGTAGTAGTAGTTGTTGCCTGCCACTTCGTCCGCGTAGAATATGTAACCTCTTTTGTTTCAATTTTCCAAAATTAAAGTATCCTATGTTACTCTTTAGTACATCAGCTACCAGCCAGTAAAAGTCTTGCAAAATCGGGCCAGCCATTCTAGAGATAAGCCAGTACAAACAGACAAATAGACAGACAGACGAAAATTATAAAAAATGAGATTTTGGCATGTGTATCGTATTCATATGCATGTAGTAAAAAGCAGTTAATTTCATATTACAAACAGATACTCCAATTTTGTTTATAAGCATAGATAGATAGATAGATATAAAGACTTACCATAGAGACGGGTAGGGGATGCGCCCCCCCATTAGGGTAAGGGTACGGCGCCATAAGGTAACCCATGTTGAATCCTGTTGCTGGATGCGGCTCGAATTTACCTGCAATGAGATAATATTTGTTATTAATGTGTAACTAGTTTGGTTGAGAGCACGATTGTCGAATGTAGGATATCGGGTTCGGTTATTGTAAATATATGACAAAGTAAACTAAGTTGTAATAGGGTAGATGCCTAATTTTTATTTTAATGTCCGTCTGGTACATTACTTTAAATCATTAGACACGTATTTTTTATTTTCTTACAGAAACTAATATTTTCGACGATATATTGATTTGAAATGTCGCGTGACGTCACTTCTATGTATATTTTATACGTAGAAATGACGTTTTAGCCTCCACTCAACTTTGATTCGTTTTATCTAAGGATTGTTTTATTATACGACAAAATAAAAAAATACGTGTCTAATATTTTTTTATACCTAAGTTACGGACTAATTAGATTTTTAATTTTCAGTCCCTGTTATCATCCCAATTAAGTCGCATTTTGTAAACTCCTTTTAACTTCAAAAGTAAGTTCGATTAAGTACCTAAGTACCAGTTGCTGGAATTTCGTCACAGATAGGTAACAACCTATAGTTATGAATTTCGAACTATTTTTAACAATCCTTGAACATTTCGAAAACGTTTTAAACACATACAACCTAGATTTTTCTGTTAATTTGATCTACCTATCAAAGCAAGCAAAAGGTGCGTGCTTAGGAAACCTGTGCTTATCTCTGCGGTGTAAAGTCGTAATCATATAATACTTCAATTACGACATTTCCTGGAAACACTATAAACGGTCTAGTGGTTTTGATATAAAACTAATGTAGCCATTTCCCTTGGCCGCCATTTTTATACTGACAATCTTAATTATATTATTACCTAAACGTAATAATTCATTGTTTACCTAGTCCAACTAATTGGTTGAAGTTTTACTAGTTAGACTAGTCTCAATTATAATCCTAAGGTTCTTACCTCTATGGCCATTTCAAGTAATATCAATAAAAGTTCAAAATCACTCAGAAAGCGTAAGTACAGTCAGACACAAAACACAGCGCTAGACGGCGCGCGGGGCGTGGCAGACGAACAAATTACACCACGACGAGAAGTAATTTACTAACGTAATTGCGCGCGCAGACGCCTAGTGACGTTGCTACACTCGATAGGAGCTTGATTTGGCAGCCAAATCTTTTTGCTAACTCTTCAGATATCGTTATATGTAGATGCAGCGCCACTTTTGGCACATTACAACTTTTATTTTGTTCACAGGAAATTCCTGAGACATCATTAAATTCAAATTTTCGTATAATAAAACCGGTAAACACAGCCAATAAAGCAAATGCAATAAAGATCTAGATGGATACTTCAGCAAAAATATAATTGATTGCAAAATGTGCAAACGATTTGTTAAATTTAAACACCTTTAATTATAAAACACTACACGTTAATCAGTTAAAGAAAAAAGTGCTAAAGAACGCTTAAAAATGTTTAATTCAAACAAGAATTCTCGTTAGACATAAATGTAATTCAAAGAATCCCTATAATGGTCAACGAACATCGTTCTAACACCGCAGTGTTTACAATTCACTATATTAAAACAATTATGCGAGCAATCAAAATTTTATTACTTCTATTATTGTGACTTGTATTTTCAACTGACTGTACTTTATGTTCTTTCGTACTTTATGTCCGTATTCAATAACATGCTAGTATTATGTATGAAGGTGTGAATTGTTATAAAACATTTTTTCAAAGATATACTAAGGTTCGAATAATCTATGGTTTTATAGACAGATAGGTTCTTAATTCACGGTATTGTTTTGTTTTATGTGTTGTAGTTATATTGTCACCTTCTCATAGGTTTTTGATAGGCGTATAAATCAATCATTGTCTTCAATGACAGTTTTTGAGCAAGATTTTTAATGGGACTATGCTTAGAAGATTTTTGTTAGCCCTATTTGGGGTTCTGTGTCTAAAGAGCTACGGCTTCGATATCTGTCCTTAAGATTTTGTAAAATTAAGGGAATTCTCACATTTTTAGTAGGTAGTGGTAGGGTTTTCAAATACGCTAGTGACTATAGTAAGTCCCCATATACACGAGAGGAGAGGCGTCCTCGATAAATGCATTATCGAACACAAAAATAATTATTTAAATTGAATCAGTAGTTTCGGAGATTAGTGCGTTCAAACAACCAGACACTTTTCAGGTTTATGTAATATAAGTTTATGTCAATCAGTCAATCCCATACTTGGCTCTTATAATAATGTTTTTAACAGTTTTAGGTCAGGTGTATTTTTTAATCGACATATGACGGATCACCTGATGGTAAGCGATCAGCGCCGCCCATTGACACCCGCAGCACCAGAGGAGTCACAGGTGGTTTCTAAGAATATTTATACCACTACCACTGACAAACGGTGAAGGAAAGCATCGTGAGGAAACCTGGGCTTATAATTTGTAATTATAAACTTGAAATCGCTAACCTGGATTGAGCAAGCATGGTGATTAATGCTCAAACCGTGCGAGAAGAGGCCTTAAGTCAGCAGTGGACACTTATATGCTGTTGATGACAAGTAATTATTGAAGCTTATCTCTGTTTAAAATAGGATACATACATAAATCCTTACTATATTAATATTATAAATCGGAAAGTGAGTATGTTTGTTTCTTTGTTTGTTCCGCTTTTACGCCGTAACTACTAAAACGATTGCTTTGAATTTTTGCAGATGTAAAGTTAGAAGTTTGGATTAAATAATAGGGTACTTTTTATCCCGGAAATATTTGATATTCTCCAGGGAAAACGAAATTATTGGTATAGATGGCGCTGTGTGTATTGGTATATGTCATAGAGGCTACTTTTTATCATTTTGTCACAGCGAAGCCGCGGGTAAAAGCTAGTATATACATGTAATAAAATCGTCCAAGTGAGTATAGATTTAATTGACTGGTTTTTATATCTTTTTTAATGAAAGCGTTATATATAATAAAGAATCTATTAAAGTTCTTTTGATGAATATCTTAAAGTTAATGCCGTTCCTTAAGTTGAGCTTGTTTGTCTGCGCTTATCTATGAAACAAGAAGACTTATTTGTATGCGATTTTCTTGAGATATATGTTAGTATTTGCTATGTAAAAATGTGCTATGATTATTTAATAACAGCACTCAGAGAAAGATACAATCTTACTTAAGGCTAAAAGACTAAATAATGACATTCAAGTTTTATAAGTTTGTTTATTGATTCTAAAGAAATGCATTTAATAGACAAAAGAATTTAAAAATAACCTAGACATCTTACTTAATTAAGACACACATTAATTCACTAACTCCATTATAGACCCTATTTCCGATGTTTAGAGATTACTTTTGTATGAACAAATTTAGTGTACGATATTTGAACAGGTTAAAATAGGGTTTTCAAATAACATGCCCACATCTCTAGTAATTCTAATTTTGAGTACTAAAGTACTAGTAATTGAATAGCGTAACACATAAAATCGAATCTAGGCCCCCAGAAGCCATTTTAGTGCACTAATGATATAGTGTTAATAACTGTGAGCTAAATAGCACTCTAAATTGCTTAGCTTATGGTATTATATCGTTTAATACATAAATACGTATACTGTCTCGTTCGTTGAGTTGGTTATATAGGTTCGATTGTTGGGATCGTAAAATATTATTTGGTTTGCACTCGTGTAATAGGAATTTAAAATATAGATCTACAGGAAAATGTTGACCGGACATAACTAAATCCGAATTTCAAATGAAAATATTTTAGTCGACTCGAGAATTGAACCTAATACACTTAGCTCGGTAGGTACACCTGTGATAACTCAGTTAAAGAGTATTGTAATTATTTAAAATTTTAAACTGGTAGTTAAGTGTAATCTAACTTGATATTTAAATGTTTAATAAAGTAATTTATCAAGAATAACGCTGCGCACACGCATTTTCAATTTTAAAGCAATTCAGTTAGAAGCGTGTATTACACTGGCGTGCTAGTTACTGGCGCCAGTAATAGAACTAATAAACACTCTGTTTTACTGATAATATTCACTTATAGTTGAATAACGTCGAGAATCTTATCAAGGAGGATTTATGCCTAAATTCCCATTTATTCATTTTTATGTATTTTTATTTTTGATGGGCCGACGTTTGACCACTGTCCTGCCTGGTGGTAACCGATGATGCGGTCTACGATGGAGCATGTCGTCCCATAAGCAACCTAATCACTCGGGCCTTGAAAACACACGGGCACCCTTCAGGAAATACAGACTCTGGCAAAGAACTCCACTCCTTAGCAGTACGCACAGATTACTCCCAATATTCTCTATATACGGCGTTTTAGTATTTTAGCGTAAGTAACCCAACAATCTACGTTGCTTTTTAATTCTATTACAAAAATATACTAAAACCTATCAAAATAATATCTCATCTCCTTGGTTCTTATCCTCGAATACCTCAATAAAAAAGAGAACAGAACTATTCGTTACCACGAAACAGTGCATTACTCACAAACTAATTAGATATAATAAAAAAACAACACCCTTTTTTGCTAACTCGGCAAAACCAATATGGCTTCCCAATTAAATAAATGTCAATCAAGTTATAACACGTTCCTTATTCAAAATGAGACGTTATCGTAATGATAGTGATAATAATAGCTTTTAATCGTGTTGATACAAGAATTAATCTTTATTTATCATTTCGATATTTTTTCCTGGAAAAATGCATTGTTTTTTCGATAAACAGGAGTTGTAAACACTATTTAAATAATTTTTATGTAAGAATTATTTTAGAGTAATAAAATGATGTGATATTTATGAGTATTTCTTTGATATTACAAATCCAATGATATCGAGTTAAACATTGATTTAATTCACGATTTAATTTGTTAAAATATTGGTAGTTTTAGCACAAAAATAGGTGTTTAAATTAAATATCAAATAGAGTAATAAAATAACCATCTTGATATTGACACGACTATCATAATCAGTGAGATATTTCTCTCACATTTTCTATAAAATTGTGTGAGCACGTTTCTACGAAACCCAGTACTGT